CCACTCATGTGACCCATCCCTCATTCCAGTTGTAGCTGGAATCCATGTGGCATAGCTACATGGGCTAGAAACTCCACTCCCAAGCTCTGTCTTACAGCTAATGAAGTGGGAACCAGCCTCTGGCAAGAGGGTTCTGTTGGTAGAGTTGCTATTTGTTTCAGGTTTTCTGGGACTGTCCTGCAAGCCCTAGTTGTGGCATTCATGGGGCTCCCAGTCCATTTCAGGGACCTGGAATCGTTAGCCTAGTGTTGCTAAATGTTGAAGGCTGGAATATTCTTACCCCTCAGTAATGAATGCAGTTCAGGCTGCCCAGTATACAACCTTGGAGTACCAAGGGTATTACTAGTAACAGGACAGCCTGCTCATCTAGCAGTCCTTGATGCTATTCATAAAGAAGACTGAGTTTGGTGATGAAGGCACTCAGCCAGGTTAATTATCAACCAAGCATGGTCCTAACTCCCTGGCTCTGTGTCTACAGGAACACAAACACATGTATGCTCGTTACAATGGAATCTGCTCCATCAGCAATGGGAGACTCAGCTGGACAGAGGGTTATGGCCAGGTACCCTGACATGTACAGACAGATCCACTGGGACAAACAGCTTACGTACTGCCCTACGTGTTTCACGACCTCTCTGTGTTATCTCCCCTTGTTCCTGATATCTTGGACACAACATCCCTATTCATTATTTTGTCAAACCATCTTATCACATATTAGATAGGGATAGAGCTGAACTAGCTGGAATATAGTTACATAAATATCTAGTGCCTAATACTCTAGCAGCAACTTTGCTAAGTTCACATTCTGGACAGTGAAGGGCTAAGCATCTGTTTTAATACATGGCCTGACTTGGGTTCACAACCTCTGGTTCAGGCCTCAGACCTTGCACCAGCCCACGTTCCCCAGGCCTCATCTACTACACTAGCCTTACAAGATATTCCTAGTTCCTCTCTGCTCTGTGGGTGGCTGTGTCTAGACTGGCAAGCTGCTTTTGTGGAAAAACTTGCCAGATGTCTACACTGGCCGCTTGAATTTCCGCAAGAACACTGACTTCCTACTGTCTGAAATCAGTGCTTCTTGCGGAAATACTATGCTGCTCCTGTTCGGGCAAAAGTCCTTTTGCTCAAAAGGGCCAGTGTAGACAGCTCAGGTATGTTTTGTGCAAAAAAGCCCCGATCGCAAAAAAGGTGATCGGGGCTTTTTTGTGCAAAAGCGAGTCTAGATTGGCACGGACGCTTTTCCGCAAAAAGTGCTTCCATGCCAGTCTAGACACTCTTTTCCACAAATGCTTTTAACGGAAATCATGCCAGTCTAGACGTAGCTGGTGTGTAAAACATCACTAGTTGTACTTGTTAGACCCTATGAGTGGGGCATGTTTGTGTTCTTGGGCTGTTCATTTTCCTATCAGCTGTGCAGGGCTGGCCTGCCTGTGCAAACATCCCTACATGACAGGTGAATTTGTTAGTGCTGGTTTGTTTGCAGACATTTTGTATGAAGAAGGCTGGTCTGGTGGCTAATACACTGGCCTGGGATCAGTTTCTGACTCTGCTACCTACTCACTGTGGGACTTTGGGCAAGTCACTTAGTCTCTGTTTCAGTTCCCCAGCTGTAATAATCTTCCCTTCCTCCCACACTTTGCTGGGCTTGTCTGTTTAGATTGTAAACTCTTGGGGAGGGAGTGGCATGCAATATCTGTCTATGCAGCACAAAGCCAGTTGGGACCTGCAGGTTCTCTCATGATACTCATGCACTATCTTTGCACGGCCAGCACATCCCTGGTGGGAGTGTGCAGGCTTGACCCATCTGCTGGATCCCCAGTTACTCCCCTTCTGGTGTGATCCTGGTTTTTATACAATATTTTGGGCTTCCCCCTTCTGAGTATTATCCTAGAAATGTAGGGCTACAGAGACTTCATGAAGTCCTAAGTAAACCTTAGGTTGGTTCATCCAACCTGTTCTTAAAAACCTCCAGTGATGGGGATTCCACAAACACCCTTGGAAGCCTAGAGCAGAGAACTACCCTTACAGTTAGAAAGTTTTTCCTAATAACTAATTGAAATCTCCCTTGTAGATTTAGTTTATAGAATCCTAGGGCTGGAAGAGAGCTCAGGAGATCATCGAGTCCAGCTCTCTGCCCAACACAGGACCAACCCCAACTAAATCATCCCAGCCAGGGCTTTGTAAAACTGGGACTTAAAAACTAGGGATGGAGATTCCACCTCCTCCCTAGGGAACCCATTCCAGTGCTTCACACCACCCTCCTAGTGAAACAGTTTTTCCTAATATCCAACCTAGACCTCCCCCACTGTAACTTGAGACCATTGCTCCTTGTTCTGCCATCCCTCACTACTGAGAACCGCCTCTCTCCATCCTCTTTGGAACCTCCCTTCAGGAAGTTAAAGGCTGCTATCGAATCCCCCTCACGCTTCTCTTCTGCAGACTAAATGAGGCCAAATCCCTCAGCCTCTCCTCTTATATCATGTGCTCCCCATATCATTGTGGTTGCCCTCTGCCGGACTCTCTCCAATGTGTCCACATCCTTGCTATAGTGGAGGGCCCAGAACTGGACACAATACTCTAGATGTGGCCTCACCAGAGCCGAATAAAGGGGAATAATCACTTCTCCAGATCTGCGGGAAATGCTTCTCCTAATGCACCCTAGTATGACATTAGCTTTCTTGGCTACAAGGGCACACTGTTGTCTCACCAAGCATCTCATCCTCTGTAATCCCCAGATCCTTTTATGCTTAACTGCTGGATAGCCAGTTGGTCCCCAACCAATCAGTCTCCATTGCTTCTTGTTTCTTATAACAGCCTTTAACATATTTAAAGACTGTCATAATATCCTCTGTTGTCTTTTCTCAAGAGCAAAAGTGCCCAGTTTATCTTTTCCTCATTGGCCAGGTTTTCTAAACTATTTATCATTCTTGTTGCTTTCCTCAAGAGTCCCTCCAATTTGTCACCCCTTTTCTAAGCGGTCATGCCCAGGATTGTACAGTTCTCCAGCCAAGCTCTTATCTGCGCCCAGCAGAGCATACAGACTCCTGTATCTTTCCAGTTACACTCCTGTTAATACACCCATTATCTTTTTTTTTTTGCAACTCCGTTCAAACTGAGATGCTCTCTAGCACCCCCTCCCTCCTGCCTTCCTCAGTGCTACCATTTCGCCCCTTGTTCCCTATTTGTTATTGGTTCGTCTTGATTTTTTTTCCTTCCTAAGTGTAGCACTTTCCACTTGCTTTTATTGAATTTCATCTGCCAGAGCAATTCTCCCAGTTTGCCACAGCATTTTGAATCCTCATCCTCTGCTCTAGCAGCTCTGCTGCCCTTGCCAGCTTGGGGTTATCTGCATATTTGATAAGTGCACCCTCCCCCACTTCCTCAGCCAAGTCACTTATGAAAGTAGTGACTAACTCCACTCCAGGGCAGACCCCTGGGGCACCCCACCACCTCCTCCCACTGTCAGCAAACTACTGATGACTAAAGCAAAATGCAGGACAATGTAGCACTTTAAAGACTAACAAGATGGTTTATTAGATGATGAGCTTTCCTGGGCCAGACCCACTTCCTCAGATCATTTGATCTGAGGAAGTGGGTCTGGCCCACGAAAGCTCATCATCTAATAAACCATCTTGTTAGTCTTTAAAGTGCTACATTGTCCTGCATTTTGCTTCAGCTACCCCAGACTAACACGGCTACATTTCTATCACTATTCTACTGATGACTACTCTTTGTATATAGTCCCCTCCCCCCCTTCCTGTCATGTGGGACTGCGCTCAAAGCCTCCCTGAAACTAAGTTTCAGTTCTTCACCCCACTTAACCCTCCCCCTCCCCCCAGCCTGGCTTAAACCCCAGCTCAGAGGCCGCTGTCCCGGGGGGCTGCAGCACCCTACCCTCGCTGGAGCAGCAGACCCTGGGCAGAGCCAGCGCAGGCGCATGCTGCGTCCCCACCCCCTTGGCAGCCCCTCCCCGTGAAGGCTGGGCGGTGCTGCTGGGAGCGGGCGGCGCACAGCAGCGCTGCAGCCCCCAAGCGCCTGCAACATCTGGCCGCTGTGCTGCGGAGGATCCGCGCTCGGGACAAGCCCCGCAGGCAGGTGAGAAGCGCGGGGGCACCAGAGCCAGGCACCGGTGTCCTGGCTGCGCGCTGCCGCGGGGAAGTGGCACGGAGATGGAAGGGGCTGCTGCAGGAGCCAGCGTGTTTGCATTTGCGGAGGGTGTCCCTCCCGAGGGTTCCTCCCCTAGCCACATGGGGGGTGCCTTGTGGGGGATGTGGCTGGAGGTGATGGGAGGGGGAGATTCTACCCCCCAAGAGCCAGTGTTCCCGGAGAGGAAAGAGGGAAATGCGGAGTCTGGTGCTTGCCTGGCCCAAGCGGGGAGGGGAACATCTGGTGTGTGTGCTGCTTGCGGGCTGTGGGTGCCCAGGGCGGGTTTCCATGTGGTCCCGAGTGTGCAGAGCCCTGCCAGGCTGCAGGAGTCGAGGGGAGAGCCGCAGAGATGTTCTGCCTTCTGTCAGGGCTCTGCCAGGCCCGTGCTGGGTTAGGGTCTTTTCTTGACAATGTGGGTCATTTCACCATAGCCAAGGACCACGAGACCCCCTGGAGAACAGGAGGACTTGGAGCAAGTGGCCTTGCTGCTGTCTGTAGAGGGACTTCATAGGCCTTCCTTGCAGCAGCCCATGGGAGCATTTTCCTCTCCCTGCAGGAGGCATCAGCCAGCCACAGCTAGTGTTCAGACCCACCCAGCTTGAATAAGGGATGGTGCCTGGGCTAAAGTGGTGAGGAGCAACAATTCTGGGTGACAAGGGGAGCAGTCGCTCAGCTAAGGGCCTTCTGCTGAGACTCCTGCTTCCAGTTGTCCTGGGCTAGCTAGTTAAGCACCTGTTGAATTTTAAACAGGAGTATCCCACTCAGCTCCGTAGTGCTCATGCGCTTCAAGTTAAGCATGTGCTGAAGTAGGTTGCTGAATCGGGGCTGTAGCCTTACGGAGATCTCTACACACAGCAAAACCACCCCTGTGGCAAGGAGTCTTAGAGCTCGCTGTGGGGTACACATAGTGCAGATGTTTGGCGTCGGGCTGGAGCCCACGCTGCGAAACCCTCCTCCTTCAGGTTTCTGGGCAGGGGCTGGAGTCCAGGCGGGTGCTCTGACACTTATCTTTAGCCTGCAGCCTGAGCTCAAGTCAGTTGACCCAGCTCTGAGACTTGCCACTGCGAGTGTTTTTTTCACTGTGGAGGTCCATTCCTGCCAGCGGTGGAGCTGCGCTGCGGCTAGCAAGAGGGGATATTTTTGGCAAAAAGCCTAATGTAGATGCTCTTCCAGAGACCCCTGCCTCCTCATGCTGAGGGGGCTAAGTTCCCACCTGCACGTCCAGTGGGAGCTGCAGGTGCATGACACCTGAAAGTCAGGCTTCTGCTATTAAAGTGCCAGCAGCTGCCTGGAGACTGGCTGCATCCTGCTGTTGCTGGTGAGTTGAGCCAGAAGGAAACTTTTGGTAAGGAAGCTTCCTACAGACTTCCCCTGAGAAGGCCAAGAGCCAGGAATGTTGTTTGCTCTGGAGTCTGGGGTGGGAGTGGGGGGAGGGGGTCACACACACAAATGCACTAGGGATGTTAAATTTAGATTAATCGGCTAATCGAAGAGTTAATGCAATTTGCATTGACTATTCGATTGGTGGATAAGGGCGCCTCAGCCTGTGAAGTGTAGCAGTTACACTTCAAAGGCGAAAGCGCTGCAGGGAGCATGGGGTCAGCAGGGGACTCAAGCAGTTCCCCACTGGCCCCATGCTCCCCATGGTGTTTCAAAGCCGCAGTGCCGCATGAAGCCTAGGCTCAGCTGGGGACTCTGACCCTGGGCTCCATGCGGCACTGCAGCTTTGAAATACCAAGGGGAGCCCGGGGCCAGCGGGGGAGTCCCCAGCTGACCTCGTGTTCCATGTGGTACTGCTGCTTTGAAGCACCCCATCCTCTTTTCCCCTGCTTGCTGCCTCTTTCTGATAGAAGCAGCAAGAGGGGAAGCGACTAGTTGACTAGTGTGTCGATTATCCGATAAGCATTTGCTTATTAGATAGTTGACTAGTTGTTCATATCCCTAAAATGCGCACTGTTAATTTGCCTGCCAGGCATGTCCTAAAGGTACGTGTGGGTGGGTGAGTGGCTTGCATGTTTGGCATTCAGATTTATCACCAAGAACTCGAGTGCCTATGGCAGTGCGGTAGCGTTCACTCTGCAGAGTTCTGAGCCCCCGTGTGAAGGAAAGCAAAAGGTTCGGGTGAATAATCAGACATGAAATTGAGGCAAAAGCAAGGCAGTGAGCAGGAAAATGCCTATTAAATTCTCTGGCTGGTTTTCTTGCTGCATCCATCTGGCTGGAGGAGTGGGCTGGACAGGAACATTGCTGTACTGGCATCTTTCCCATGGATGCCTTCTCCCCGACTGCTTTGAAAGGATGCTGAGAAAGGGCAGGGGTGTGCGTGTGTCGCCACATGGCTGAGCTGGTGTTTTATCTGTAGGTAGCACTGTTCCACTTCCAGCAGCGGGATTTTATTGCTGTATTGTGTAATCAGTAGTGATTTCAGAGAGCTCTGCGCTGTGGGCTGGTGCTCGTTAGCATAACAGTTTTCCCTGTGGCTGACTGCCTGAGTCAGCACAAGGCAGTCTCTGTCTAGCTAACAGATTACTCCAGTTGAAACCACGTGCACAGGTGCTACTTTCTTCTGCCAGCTAGGACTGGACCCTTGGTGGTGGCGGTGGCGTGTGTGTGTGTGTGTGTGTGTGTGTGTGTGTGTGTGTGTGTGTGTGTGTGTGTGTGTGTGTGTGTGTGTGTGTGTGTGTGTTTCCTGAGCCACAAAGAAAGACCATGTGTGTGTGTTTCCTGAGCCACAAAGAAAGACCATGTGTGTGTGTTTCCTGAGCCACAAAGAAAGACCATGTGTGTGTGTTTCCTGAGCCACAAAGAAAGACCATGTGGGGGGTGTGTGTGTGTGTGTGTGTGTGTGTGTGTGTGTGTGTGTGTGTGTGTGTGTGTGTGTGTGTGTGTGTGTGTGTGTGTGTGTGTTTCCTGAGCCACAAAGAAAGACCATGTGTGTGTGTTTCCTGAGCCACAAAGAAAGACCATGTGTGTGTCCTGAGATCCACAAAGAAAGGCCACCCAGCTGCTGTTCATAGCAAATAAAGTTGGACCTTTTGCTTAAGTTGTAGAATTTGTGCTTTGAAGCTGAAGACCAGGGTTTGATTCCTGTTGATGGCTGTTCTAGAGAGGTTCTTACATTCTGTACCTTGCAGGACTTTTCCCTGGAAAAGGTGCACTTGATGTGCATTGTAACATTCAGCTGAGGTGAAGGAGAATCTCCATTACTTGTTAGCAGTATAGGGTCTGTGACGCAAAGTTGGAACAGTTATAAAATGTAGAGAGTAGCAGTGTGTTTGTGTGCATGCAAGTGTGCACATGCACAACGGTATATTACATGTATGCTCACTAGCTATGCAGAAATTACATGCATACTGCTTATTTGCTTGACTAGTAGGGTAACAGTTATTCCTACATGCATGCATTGGACATTGTTTGAAATGTGCATTATTGATCCAGACTGAAAATACAGGGTTGAGTTATTCTTGAGGTAAGTCTTGCTTGTCTAGATGGCAAGGCCATTTTGGTAACTTGCGTAAAGAAATGAAACTTCCCACAGACCGATCAGTGGACCACTATGTTGCTGCTGTTATTATTTATATTTGTATTGCAGTAGCATTTATATTTGTATTGCAATAGCAACTAGAACCCCTAGGCATTGTGCTAACTTTGGCCTCCCCACCCCACCAGCTTCCCCTGCATTTCTTCTGAGGTCCTTTTGCTGGATATACTCCTACCCTGCTGCTTCTACTGCATTCCTCAAATGATGTTGTCTGTGCCTTGCTTTTAAAGTAGAAAGTGCTACTGGGATGCATTAACACATGTGTTGTGAGCAAGACACGAGAAGTCATTCTTCCGCTCTATTCTGCACTGGTTAGGCCCCATTTGGAGTATTGTGTCCAATTCTGGGCACCGCAATTCAAGAAAGATGTGGAGAAATTGGAGAGGGTCCAGAGAAGATCAACAAGAATGATTAAAAGTCTAGAGATTATGACTTTTGACGGAAGGCTGAAAGAACTGGGTTTGTTTAGTTTGGAAAAGAGAAGATTGAGGGGGGACATGATAGCCATTTTCAGGTATCTAAAAGGGTGTCATGAGGAGGAGGGAGAAAACTTGTTCATCTTGGCCTCTGAGGATAGAACAAGAAGCAATGGGCTTAAACTGCAGCAAGGGAGGTTTAGGTTGGACATTAGGAAAAAGTTCCTAACTGTCAGTGTAGTTAAACACTGGACTAAATTGCCCAGGGAGGTTGTGGAACCTCCATCTCTGGAGATATTTAAGAGTAGGTTAGATAAATGTCTGTCAGGGATGGTCTAGACAGTATTTGGTCCTGCCATGAGTGCAGGGGACTGGACTCGATGACCTCTTGAGATCCCTTTCAGTCCTGGTATTCTGTGATTAAGTGCAGTCAGAGAAGCTCTTACTCCAGGGTCCCTGAACTGCCCATATATCTGAGGTACTTACGTGGCTCCCATTATTGCAAGATCTGAATGCCTCACAATCTTTTAATGCGTTCATCTTGCCAACACCCTTATGAGGTTAGGTGCTGTTATCCCCATGTTACAGATGGGGAACTGTGGCAAAGACAGATTAAGTGACATGCCCAAGGTCACATAGAGTTTGTCTCAGAGCATGCAGTCAAGGCTGATCTTCCACATTCCTGTTGCTGGTCTTTGTGTTCCTTCCTGTGCATACATGGGACAATTTAGTAGGAGACTCGTTATGTCTGTGAAGGCAGCAAAATTCACATTTTCTGAGCTTAAAGTCTGGCACGTCCCATGAAGGGAAGGGCACCGTGAAAAGCTTTCTGCTCGAGACATATCACATTTGAGGTTGCGTTGGGCAAATGTAATTTCACTTCTGGCATACTGGTCATGTCCTGCCACATTGCCTACCTAAGGGATGGCTTTGATTTTTCCTTTTTGTAAAACAACAAAAAAGCACCAAGACAATGAGAAGCAAAATCTCCC